CTGCCCCCCCCCCCCCCCCCCCTTTGGGCTTCAGAGTGCTTCCTTTAGTCTCACACAATCATTGGTGGCAGGTTTCATGTGTGATCCCCTCATTCCTCCCCACTTCATCAGTAAGAGCTGTTGGAAATCATTGATTTCCTTCTCTTTATTTGCAGGGGCGCGATGGGCTGCCCATACCAGGATGCTGGCATAAGGTATAATTATATATGTGATGTGGAGAAACTATGAGTCCTACTAGTTTTCCCACCATAATAGTGAGGATATGATATTGTATTATGACTGCAGTGACCGCTTCCTTTTTGTGTCTTCTAACAGTTTTCTCCTATTGTTTCTTGCAGTAATGACTAACCTGGAGCATGGAGTTTGTACATATTGATATATATTTTGCAAGTAAAATTAGCTTTTACTCCCAATTTTTTAGTCATCTCTTATTTAATAAATTGGGTTTTCATATGGGAGCCCTTGCAAAAAATTATATCTGTATCGCTGCATTAACAAAACAGACGCTCTCCACTGCCACAATATCAAGTGTAGAAAAGCAATGAAGCGAGCATCATAGGTGCTGAGACTGTACTGATATTAAGAAGAGACATGAACTCAATGCTTGTGGATGCACAGAGAATGCTGCTGCAGTCTTTAAGGTGAGAACATAACCCTGAACTTTCTAACAGACTGACCAATGTGTCTGCAAATGATCACTTCTTCAGTGGCTGTCTTACTTTCCTGGGCGTCATTTGAACCAACCAACCCCACCCATTCTTTGCTAAATGTTTGCTTTGAAAGGAAGAGGCTTCAGGGCAGGGTGGCAAAGCCAAGCACCCATCTCAGCCCTAAAGGACACTGAATGGGATATACGGAGAGAGTATGCTTTGCCAGTTCAGCTGGATGTTTCCAATGAAAGGGCTCACCTGTACTACAGGGAGAAACGCAATGTGGACATTGCACTGGATTTGTACTGGTGTACATATGGACAAATCTGTACTCAGGAAACTCTTTTCACTTGGTTAACAGGAAACAGCTTACTGTCTTTTGTTCCATTTCTCGGTAAAATACACCAGTGGAGAGGTGGAAAAAAGTATAATAACTGATATCATGTAAAGTTGTCATTGTAAGTCTTGTCTGTTTATAAGATCCCTCATAAACTACAACAACTTTGGTCTCTTATTCATGTTTTGTTTATGGTTGGTTTTTTATTCATGAGGTTGTCTGCAACCTCAATGAGCATTATGCAAAGTTTGTGTAAATAAAATGTATAATTTTTACATTTAAAGGCTTGCATGATTTATTGTCTGAATACCGTGCACTGTGTTTTACGTTCAGTTGTTTTCCCCTCACTCTGTTTTGTTCAAATTTTGTAAAATATGGAAATGTTTAATTACAGCAGTTTGTTTAAGAGAAAGATTTAACATTCTTGTGCTCTAAATGTACTTTACACAAGTACAACAACGCAAATGTTTCTAGCTACACAAATCAGTTTCATGTGCTGCCAAATGTGTCAGACTTTGATGAGCAAGTTAGTTACATTTGAAATGTTTATACTACCTTATTAACACCACATCTGGAATAAAACCATATCAAGACCAACTCTTTGAACTCTACCGCTGTACTGAGTACTGAGGTGTGTTACTGCCACAATAACGCACAATAAGTTTGTTGAGAGATCAAACACTACTGATAGAGTTATAGCCAAATATTCCCATTTGCATTCATGTGTAAAGTATCTTTATGGCTTTAGTGTGTTAAATTCCTAGTAGAATAGATGTTTTATTAATGCAGAAAATACTTTTAAATCTAATTAAATCAGTGGCTTATTACTAATACTCCATTATGTGTAGCTAAAATCCAAATCCAAGTCAATTATGTACTACCTGCTTCAAATTATTATTCAAATAATATGCTCTAGCTAATTCTCACTTATAAACATCACAACATATGCAAGGCAATTTAAACATGTGGTTTCCGTAGTGTAGTGGTTATCACGTTCGCCTCACACGCGAAAGGTCCCCGGTTCGAAACCGGGCGGAAACAACCACTTTTTCTTGGAATAAAACATCCTTAATTGTTTTACCTAACTTTTTGTTTTACTGCCTACCTTTACTGATATATTTAACAGTACAGTACCTGTCAAAAGTTTTAAAACATTAACATTTTTATATGTTTGTAATTAAGTCTCTTAAGTGCCCCAAGGCTCTTAAAATAATACACTGATTTGCTGCAGTTATTATTATTTTTAAGAAGCTGAATTTCTAAGAAACATTTCTTATTATTATTAATGTTGAAAACAGTGCTACTTAATATTTATACAGAAACCATGATTACTATCATTCAAATGTTTGGGTTATGTGTCTGTGTGTGGTTTTAATACAAATGAATGCTTTTATTCAGCAGATATATGCATTAAAATGATCAAAAGTCACAGTAAAAACATTTATAATGTTACAAAAGATTCTATTTCAAATTAATGCTGTTGAACTTTTAAGTTATTTTAGAATCCTGAAAAGACCGTTTCCACAAAATATTAAGCAGCAAAAATTGTTTTTAAAGGGGTCATATGATGCGATTTCAAGTTTTCCTTTCTCTTTGGAGTGTTACAAGCTGATTGTGCATGGATAAGATCCCTGAAGTTGCAAAGACTAAAGTCTCAAAACCAAAGAGATATTTTTTAGCAAAGTTAAGACTCTGCCACGCCCCCCTAAACGGCTCGTTCTAACACGCCCCCACATATCTACCTCACTACGTGGAAATATTTGCGTAATGCTGCCCAAATGTTCATGCAAAGAAGGAAGGCGTGGTTTCAGTAACCGCAGTTAGTGTTGAAGCAGCCATGTCAGGGAGACGCTGTGTGTTTCTAGATAAAAGCAAAAGCACTTTATTTGGCCTTCCGAAAGTAGATGCATTTAGGAATCTTTAAGATTACTTACAACAGAACAGCAATGCATTTTATGGACGACCGTTTTGTGAGCCTAGGAGAGGAGGTAATTCTGACTTGCTATGACAATCTGGCGCTTCTGAATCAGCTACTGTTTTGTTATTAGTTTAAGTATTTGCTACTGACTTCAAATGCAGAGTTTTGCGCATCGTGTGTGTGCGTGAGCGAGAGAGAGAGAGGGGGGGGGAAGGGTCACATCACAGTGGAGTCAGCTGTCTTAACCGTGGCTCGTGTATAGCGCTTGTGTCTGTCACGCAAATCTGTTCCCCTTTCGGGCTCTGTCTTTACATTTATTTTGAAAGATGAAGCTCGCGATTATGGTAAGGGGCATTACATTTCCGACGAGTGCTTGCGGTGTTTGGCCAATCACGATGCACTGGGTCAGCTGGCCAATCAGAGCAGACTGCGCTTGTCGGAAGGAGGGACTTTGTAGAAAACAAAGTGTTTGAGAGAGGCGGGGCATAGAGGACCTACAATAATGTACAGTATTTGAAAAATATTGTGTTTTTTGAACATTAAAGCATGTCAACATATTCTGTTACACCAAATACACAAAATAATGATCTTTAAAAAAGCATCATATGACCCCTTTAACATTGACAATACTACAAACCATTATTCATAACTGGGCACCAACAATAATTGAGCATTAGAATGATTTATTAGAATTCATTAGAATGATTTCTGAAGGATCATTTGACACCAAAGACTGGAGTACTAGCTGCTGAATTTTCAGCTTTGAATCACAGGAATAAATTACATTTTAAAATATATTCAAATAGAAAATCGTTTTTTTTTTTTTTTTATTGTAATAATATATCACAAAATATTACTGCTTTTATTATATTTAGCCTTGGTGAGAATAAGAAACTTAATTAAAAACATTTAAAAAGAAAATACACAGAAATACACATATTATAAACAATAAAAGAAGGAATAATAACAAAGAAAATGTGCAGATCTCTACTTTCCAAGCAGTAAAACATCATTTAAAAAAAAGAAAAATTTAGGTTTGTTGGACAGACCGTTGACAAAATAGATGTTACCCATAACCCCTTGCACAAGGTTTCCGTAGTGTAGTGGTTATCACGTTCGCCTAACACGCGAAAGGTCCCCGGTTCGAAACCGGGCGGAAACAACATTTTTCCCTCCTAAGGAACTCCAGTTAAATACACAGACCGGAAACATTTTAGCATACAAATATAACGTCAACCATTATCCCTAAAAAGAAAGAGAAAAAAAGTGTTTTAAATATTGTTGTAACTATAATATTTTGTTAATTACTTAATTTAACTGGGATAAAATCAGATCTTCTCTTCTCTTCAAATAAATAATTAAATAAATGAATAATAAACATAAATAGAAAATAAAAATGTGGGACTTCTATCCGAACACGCAGCAGGACTTTTATTCTGAACTCACCACTGTAGCTGCGGAACAAGGACATGAAATAACATTTTCATGCTAAAGGCTTCACACTACACTTGCATATATTCCAAATATGCCTGGTTTTAACTACGGGGATGATCAGGTACATTTTAAACGGATTTAAATTGCATTTGTGTGATTTAATGTAACTGTTAGCCTTTAATGTATATATGTTCTTTAGAAAATTTAAGCTACATCTCTGTATGAAGCTAATAAAGCAGTTAATTCTATTCTTTGGTTTATTAAAACGACGTTTATTATATAGAAATCTGCGTTTCTGAGTGAAAACGAAATATGTACGGTTTCAAGCTGCTTGGAAACGTTTCATGGCCATTAGCATTCTGTCTATTTCGAGGAACTCGTTCTTATTCTGCCTTTAATCTGTTTTAAAGTTTTACTCCTATAGAGTGTTTCAGTATTTTGTCATTCCTATGACAAATTCACTTGCGAATATGGCGACATGTTATATTTACTATAGTCTTAGATACTGCAAGACTTTGGTAGATAAAACGGCTTACGCGAACTAACGCGAAACTCAGCCGCATAGGAACTGCGCAAAAGTTCGCAGCTATGATGCGCTAGAACACTTGTCTTTGTTTTGGTCAAAAGCTGCCGTTTACGCTGCAAGGATGCCATAGAGATTCACTAATCTGCAGAACATAAACAGACGTCAGCCTTGCGTGCGTATGTTCTATAGATCATACCGGACGCGGGCCTAATTTGACAGCACGAGCCAGCCGTTCCAAGAGGGTTTAAGGATTGAGTGGCGCATTAAAAATAGAGGTCTCTCCTCCAGGATATGATAACTGTAGCCACACTGAAATGAGTATCAGAGATAAAGAGCTTAAGATACATTTTACACCCGGGCACGTTGAGCTTGTTCAGGTAAGACTGTTGGTCCATTTCTAAGGAAGCCCATCCATGGTATACAAGCCAAAGCAAGTTTAATTCAAATGAATGCCTTATAATCCAAGGCGACCCGTTCTGTGTAATGTTTTGTTTAACACAAAATGAAATACAAATCGTGTTATTGTTAAGGCATAGTTTAGTTTCAGTTGTGACGAGCAGGTGAACGCAACTGATCATGTTTGAATTGATTAATACCAGCACTTTAAACTATAAGGAACATGCGTGCTACCTGACAACTTGGACATTAGTGCTTATTGTGATATTTTTCATTTTTGGCATATTAAAACTGCTGTGAGGTACTGATGTGTACAGTGCCATCTGTAGGTTAATCCCATTAACCAATTTCAAGTGTCTAGATGCAAGTCAGTTGATATAGAGTTGCAGTGCTCGAGAGCAGATATAAAACTATGCAAAACCAAATTTCACCTGTACAAATTCAAATCAGTAAACTGTAATTAAAAATGCATGTCTGTCTAAAGCAAAAATATAATCTTTGCAAATAACGTGTGTAAATTGACTGTGAACATCTATAATGAGAGGCTGTTGTAATGACCCTTCACTAAGCTCCATCCCCAGACAAGCTTTACAGAATAACTGGAGGTACTCATAAACATATTTGTGATTTTCAGTCAATTCTGTTTACAAATTGGTAAAAATGTTACTACTACCAAACAACCAAAATCCACTAAATGTCCTGAGGGTGGCGCTTCAGGGGCTAATAAACACCTGAGCGCAGCAGCTTCAGCATCGACTGCACAACAGCATCGAGAAACTTCGAGTGTCAGCTTGTGAGGCTGCAGGTTTCAAGAGTCTGCAGATTGTATAAATAACGAACACGACATTTGTATTAAAAAAAAGGTTCTTTCCTTTTTGTTTTAGACTGGGGTTAGCTGGTTGAGGAAGGTTAGGGGCGTTTGTTCACGTATGAAGCTGCTAGTTTAACACCGATATAATGTTCCAGGGCAATTTCTATATCATCATAAGCTTATAACAGTCGTATAATACAAACACAATATCGTCCGTTCTGTTACAAATATAAATCCACTAATGTAGCTTACGTCCAGTTCTTGGTCTAAAAAGTGGAATTAGTAAACTGTAAATACCAACACAGCTAATTTAAATTACCAAGACAACGTGTTTATAAGTTAGCCTACCTCACACATTGAAACAAGCGACTATCCATCATCTGAGGTAAATTGTATGTCGTCCAGTACGTACTCCACTTACAGTTCTAAACTTTAACTTCACTAGTACAGCTCATCAACACGTCGATAGCTAGATACTTCTCAAGAACTTTGTAATATATCTTATCTTTCTTCAGTTGTTTTGCTGTTTGCAGAGTGGTCGCAAAAACCCAAATACTCATCGACGACACTGGCTTTCCTCATCAGTTGTCATTGATTAGACCTCGCGAATTGATATCAACTGCCAATGATGTTGTAGGGGCGTGTCTAGATTCTGTGAGGGGCGACTCTCATTGGTTCTTTTGATTGTCAATCACACCTCGGACTTGATATCGTTCTATCCAGTATTTAAAATAAATAAATAAAACAAAACATATCATATCATAGACACAGCACTCATGTGCGTTATAAAATGCACCCATTGATTAACTTTTCCAACAATTATCAATTATTAAGAAAACATGCTACTCACCCAGCTTGTTGTCCACTACAAACATCTAACAGATACAAGGAACATTTGTGTTATGTACTGTGTTCCATTAATTTATCTGTCCAACAGTTATAAATTAAGAAACATGCCACTCACCCAGATTGCTTCATCTGGAAAGCATCTGTTGCCTACTACAAACATCTAATAAACAAAGTAGTTTCACATACATTCTAAACCATAAATATCTTAAAAACAGTATCTAAATGTTTATTTAACATCTGACATCTTGCAGATGAAAATGTGCAAAACTTAGCAGAGTGCATGCATACAATGCAAACGTTGTACATGCATACTTTTAGGGTAAATTTACTTGGTTCTGTCATTTAGAATGAAGTCTACACTCCATACCGGCGTGTGCTTGTGACTGGAGCCACAGGGCTACTGGGCCGTGCTGTTTACAAAGAGTTCAAGAACAATGACTGGGATGCTTTGGGGTCTGGCTACAACCGTGCCCGGCCTTGTTTCCTGAAGTGTAATCTCCTGGATGAAGACGCAGTGCGAGGGGTCATTCAGGGGTTTCAGGTAACTCATTACCCTAACCAGTAAGATCACCCACTACTATTCTTCTACCACCAACACATTTATTTATTTTTAGTCCATACAGTCCATGTTTGATGTGTCAAAAGTATTTTTCTTTATTTTGTGAATGTCAGCCTCATGTCATTGTGCACTGTGCTGCTGAGAGGAGGCCAGATGTGGTGGAGCGTCATACTGAAGCAGCCATAAACCTGAATGTGCATGCATGTGCTTCTCTGGCCAAAGAAGCAGGTTAGCAGAGTGACAAATCTGTGTTAGATATAGTTTTTTAAAAAATGCACATTTGCTCAGTAAAGTTCATAATCCTTTCCCACAGGTGGCATCTTCCTAATCTACATCAGCACAGATTACGTTTTTGATGGACGTAATCCTCCCTATGGAGAAAACGATGCTCCCAATCCTTTGAATTTATATGGGAAGTCCAAGCTAGAGGGTGAAAGGGAGATTCTCAGACACTGCCCAGGTATGATGTTTTTGAACCACATCTGAAAGGCTCTAAACCAGGACAAATCATAAAAAAGTTTTTTTGATCAGGATTTGACAGCTCATATAATATGTTATAGGGCAATATGGATACCATACTTGAGGAAAAATGCCTCAATTTTATTCAGATGCCCAAACTGATCACAAATATGCTGTTTGGTGCAGATCTTATTTATATGGCCAAAATTAAGGTGGAATTTTTATAGCTTGTAATGTAAATCAGAGAGATCTTTATAACACTGGATATAATTGCATATCAGTTGTCTCTTTACGTCTCCCAATAATATGCCAAAATAAGATTATATTTAAATTTTAAATTTTAAGATAAAATCTCTTTAGGTTTTATTGTGGGGGCAAACATAGTGCAATGCAATACAAAGTTGATTGAGAGATGTACAAATAAACATTTCTCAATAGCCTGATGTATCATATTTGATATATTACATCAAAAATGATGTATGGATAATCAACCAAACTTAAAGGGATAGTTCACCTTCAGTTGCTGGTCCGCATTGATGTCCATAGTATGAAAAAAAAACACTATGCAAGTCAAAGGGGACCAGCAACTGAAGGTGAACTATCCCTTTAAGTTGCTTCAGTCCATTAAGTGTCTTGAACTATTACTAACGATATAGAAGTTATTCTTATATTTACTTTATAAAAATCTGTAAAGATTTCACAGCAAAAAGACATGTGTACCACAACCTGAAGTGGGACATTTATTAGAATTATACTATAAAAGGCACTTTACTTCCAAAAAAGTATAAAACTGTCAGTCAGATGACAGAAGGCATGTAGTAGATTGTGTGTAACAGTTTTTTTCAGCAAAGTTTTGATCATGTTGATAATTTAGAGGCCTTAGAAATTTGCAAATCAAATAAGATACAGTACTGTCTGCCATTTTATAGAGGTAAGCCTGCTACTATATTATTAGGAGTGCATAAAATGTTTATTCCCTTTAAAAACAATCTCTGTTCTCTGTCTGTTGCTCTGAGCAGGCGCAGCTGTACTACGAGTGCCCATTCTGTTTGGAGAGGTGGAGAAGGTTGAAGAGAGCGCAGTGACCGTGTTGTGGGACCGTGTTCAGGAGGGCGCTGAGAGCTGCACCATAGACCACTGTCAGCAGCGCTTCCCCACTTACACTAATGATGTGGCACATGTCTGTCGGAACATGGCTGAGAGAGCCCTTCAGGTGAGCCGCTTGGTGTAGACTTTATAGCAGGGGTGTCAAGCTATGTTTAGGTCAAGAACTGGATTAAACTAAAAGTCACCAAAGTAACTATTGGTGTCCCTGTGTAGAAAATGCATGCACAATATATGATCTACTGGAGCTAGTTAAGTCCAGAATCACCTTAACCACTCATTTCAATACAGCAAGTTTCTGTTGCCCTCAGGACCCGTCACTGCGTGGAATCTTCCATTACTCTGCCAAAGAGCAGATGACCAAATATGAGATGGCCTGTGCAATAGCAGACGCTTTCAACCTGCCCAGCAGTCATCTAATACCAGTGAGTAAACAAAAAGCTGAAAAGATCCCCTCAATATATCCTCTGTCCTTCCTACAGTCAGTACAGTCTGTATATACAGTGCAGTCCTTACCCTTGCCTGTAAGCACATGCATGCTACAGCTATATGTAGAATGTAGTCTGTTCATGTAAACCTTCAGCCTTCTAGTTGAAGAAATCCTTAATGTCACATCTTTTCTCTTAACTTTGGTTTAGGTATGATCCATTTTGATCTCTTTTGTTCATTAACCTGGTATATGTATGTGTGTGTGTAGATGACAGAGCAGCCTGCTGGTGCAGGGGCCCAAAGGCCACAAAACGCCCAGTTAGAGTGCTCACGTTTGGAGCTCCTCGGCCTGAGTGTGGAGCCCACCCCTTTCAAGACTGCCATAAGGGACAGCCTCTGGCCCTTCCAGCATGACAAACGATGGAGGCAGACTGTCTTTCACTAAGGCAACAACTATGTCCCAAGCTCCAGAAGAAAACAGGGCCACACTCTTTAAATGTTTAGCATTTCACTATTTCACTGAAGCACCAATCCTATTTCACAGTCCTGAATTAAAACAGGTCCACGCTTTTTACAAGTCCAGCAGCTTTGTTTGATGTTCAAGTATACATTTATTTCAGCCAACAGGTATTTCACCTTTATGTGTTTCTGTGCGATTTGCACTGCGGGTTAATAAGTCTGGCCTTGACTGTACTTGATGTTTCTTTCCTAAAATGTATTACTTTATGTAAATGGCAAGTTGAAGACATGAATGTTTGATAAAGGAACAGATGAGATCCTCAGTTTCTGCCGTTCCCTCTTTTTTCCTTTAAAAAATACAAATCAGACATTTACTTGAGGACAAAAGAATGCAATATGAATGAAGTACCGGGAAGCTTGAGAAAATCAAGCCTTTCTCTCTTGATCATTAAAGTTGATTTTCTTTTTTTAATTTACGTTTTTATTACTCTTTTTTTTTTTTTTTAATAATGGCATAAACTTGATACTTTATGTAACAGGAGTGTCATTTAAGGATAGATAATGCTACAAACACTTTGAGATAACCGCAGCAATTATAACATCATATTACTTTGTTCCACAAGCACAGGGTCAAGACATTGTGGCTTAAAAGGTATGCCAGTAACCCTGCCTCATTATTACTGTATAAACATAAATTCTGTAAATGTAAATGATGACCATTTTTTTTGTTCTTCTCAAATTCACAATTGATGAAATGATTAAAGTTCCCTTCGTCCTGCTGGTTTTTTAAAGATCCCTTTACCTAACAAAAGCCAGATCCTTAATTGCATAATCCTCTAAAAATGACATATTTGGTATTACTAGATAATGCATTTGATAAATTCTGTAAGATTTTGTTTTATTATTTGCTTTGCTATAACTTTAAAAATAGTCAATCCTGTTACATAAAATTACAGTAATATGTATTTAAAATGTCAAAAGATGTTTAAAAACATGTTTATTACCTTGCCATTGTGTAATCAAGGTATAATTAATAATGTTTAAATGCCTGGGATTAATCAGAGCATTTCTGATAGTCGGATATGGTTTCTTACAATATCTTATATTATCATTAGTAATATCCTCCTGAGACCCAGCTATGGAGTTTTTGCCTCTGTAGTGGACATTATATTTGAGTGAATTTCTCTGAGACCTCACATGTCACAGTTTTAAGTCTGGATGTCCTGTGCAGAGCACATTCAGGGCTGTCCACAGATACCAAATGATTGGCTGTTTCACCATGACCACTCCCTCTCCTTGGTTTTTAAAAATGGCTGACATTAATTTAGTGATAAAATTGTACATCCTCATGGAAATATGATAATATTTTGTAATTATATTTGAAATCTGATTCATTTTCAAATTGACATCTCAGGAAAATGTTATGGGGTTTCAAATCAAAATATGACTTCCCGTTATGAAACAGGACTTGATTTCATACATGTCCACTGTAGAGGACACCAGGACTAAAAGCATGTTTATTATACATTTTGGGAGACAAAAGAATTGAATAGGAAAACAAATTATGTATCAATATTCTTATGAAATATTAGATATTAT